GTTAAAGAAAATTAAATTTTCCTTTAGCAGAATTTTGGTACAAGTGATCGTCGGAAAGAGTTAGCAATTTGTGTCCTCAATAAAAAAATTAAAAATTAATAATACATCATTATTTGTGTCTTCTATTTCCTGGAAATCAACATCTATATTTCTTATTTTGGGTGGTTCAATAGAAGTAGCCTGCCATTTTTCCTTTTGAATAGTAGTAGATTGACTTTCAATTGATTCTGAATCACTAATTTCTATAATTTCTTGAACATTAGTATTATCATCACTACTATAATCTGAGACAATCGTCATTTCAGAGCCATTTTCAAACCACCCAAATTTGGAACTTAATTCAGGGTTATCAAATTCAGAACCTTCTATGTTTTCTAATTTGGGACCCTGCATGTCTTTTAATTCAGGACTTTCTATGCTTTCTAATTCGAGACCTTCTAATTCAGAAACTCCTAATTTGGGACCTTCTAATCTGAGACCTTCTAATTCAGGACTTTCCATTTTAGTATCTTCTACTATAGTACCATTTATAGTGGAATCTTCAGATTCAGTAATATCTGAATTACAACTTCCATTATCATTATCTTTATAATTTTCTAATAGAATATCACTTGTATTCATATCACTATGAGGATGCTGACCAAATACCATATGGTAAGGGGTTGTTTTATATGAAGAACAATGTTGATTGTTCATCGCCCCTGTATAATAATTAAATAAATAAATATTAAATAAAAATTAAATAAAAAAAATTAAAAAATATAAATAAAACTAAAAAAAAAAAAACTATAAAAAAATACTTACAAATAACATTTTTTAAGCCAATGCTCCAATCGGTTCTTCTTGTATCCTCCATCCATGCTCCTAGTTTTATTTCAAGAATGTCATTACCTTTCTCTACAAGGCCTTGACTCTGGGGGTTTCGGGGATGACCATGTACCATTTTTACTGTAGGCCAGAAGCTCAACATTTCCTTGAAAGTATTACCAACGAATTCTCCTCCATTATCAGTATGAAGAATTGCAGGAGGACTATATATAAAACAAAAGTTAAGGAATGTCACGGCAGCTTCTTCAGCAGATTTAGATTGAGCTGGTTCAGCATAAGAGAACTGACTGAAATGATCTCTTATGTGAAATATATATTTGTATTCTCTATCAGGTATGGCTGTCATATTAATTGTGTCAAACTAATAAAAATTAAATTTTGTTAACTATATTAATTTCAATTAAAGTTAATGTAATATACCTACTTGAACATGATTTAGAAAACCTTCGGAAACAATAGGGCACATTGGTGGAACTCTTTTGGAAATATGTCGAGTAATACACACCTTGCATTCATGAATCACATCCTCGACTAACTGCTGGGAAATATAGCAATATCTAACCCGAATCTAATAAAAAGATTAATTTTTTTTTTTTTTTTTTTTAAAAAAAAAAAAAAACTACCTTTTTCCAGGTTTTTTCTTGCCCACCATGCTCAGTAGCTTGAT